CCTGCTGAATGTTTGGCTTGCATCCCAGCTGGTGGAAAGAGTAAAGAAGGGCTTTAGTGTTAACTTGAAGTTCATTTTCTCTCTTCCAGCTTGATCAGCCGCTGAAGGTCATCTTATTTCAGTGATTCCTTAAGGGTTCTGCGTACACACAAGTACTTACACGGGGGTAAATGCAGCTTTCATTCACTGGGGAAATGATTTGTAGCTATTTATAAAGTAGTGTTGTAATTTATTATTTGAATTCTGTTGCCTAGATTGAAAAAGTATCTGACAGTCAACTGGAACCAGCAGTTCCATTTTAATTCCACAGGGTAATAATTTTCTACTATTATAAAGCCTTACTCCAGTTATTATACGTATTAGTTGGTGGGGTTTTTACAGCACCACAACGAGAAACTTGCCAAGCAATAAATTCCATTGAAAGGTTTCTTTGTGTCTTTAGGAAAAGCTTACATGAGATACTTCCCTACTTCCATGTAAGAAAAGGAAATAATGAAGTAGACAAGCACACAAGTAACCATTAGCTTGGGCTATTGTGTATTTCATGGTTTTGTTATGGATAACTTTCCAAACCGGACCTACTCCAACGAGTGCCTTTGCAGTTCTCTGAGTGTATCCTTTCAGTTTACAGAAAACCTGATTCACACACATTCTGGAGTTAAATCATCACTCCAGCTGCTCTGCTTTAAGTTTCCCAGACCTTTGTGAATCATTGTGTGGTTTTGAACAGCCTGGTTGTTGTGACATAAATATTTTTGTAATTGATCAAATATGTTTAGGTTTGGTTGGTTTGCATTTTTAACTGAAAAAAAAGACATTTTTAGAAGGATTTCTTTAATTTTTAGGAAATGAGATTAATCATGTTTTTAAGGCATGATTTCCTTTTAATGTCTCCAACTAAGTGAAGCACAGGAATTATTTTGATTTTTGTCTCAGCCATGACAGCTTTGTTGAGCTGTGGGTATGGTTTTTTTCTGTCCCTCAAAAGCTGTAGAGTTTTCACTGCTTGGCAGTTGTTAAGCTACCTGCCTCCTCGTGTAGTGATGTTCTAGGAGAGGGTTCAGGCCACTTACGTCTGAGGTGATTAAAAAAATAAATCTGATGCATCGGAGTGGGTAAGCAAGAGGACAGAGAAATCCAAATGTGGCAGTGACCAGGAGCAAAGCCTTTATACATTTTCATTCCAGGAGAGGAATGATGACCCGGTGCTGCCAGGGACTGCTTGGGCCAGTGGCGGGGCGGGCCAGCCACAATTCATGGGTTTGCAGCTGGGTCCGGGCATCCTTGAGAGCCAGAGACCTCAAGGAGCCGTTTATAAAAGGGGTGTGTGTGTGTGTCACATAACCCCGCGCACTAGTGACAAACTGTGAAACTGCCTGAGTGTCTGAGTTTCATTCAGATTTCTTGAGGACAGAAAGCTCGATTGGCTGCAGAGGCACCTTCATGTACACCCACAAAGAACAACCAGGCCCGGGAGAAACCACGATAATGCATCCCTGTAGGCTCTGTGGTTATCCCAGGTCGGACTGGGGGTGGTGCTACTCGTGCTTCTGTGGTGGCACGGCATCCAGGGCTTTCCCGTGCTTGCAGAGGCTGCCGTGGCAGAGAGGTGCAGTGGCACCCAGTGCTCGATGCTCATGCAGGAGCAGGGCCACAGGCTGCCGTGTCCTGAGGCCGGGGCACCTGGTGCTGTTGGACCTGAGCTGTGTCCCACGTTTCTGGGCAGGTTGGCACAAGCCTCTCACTGTGACTGAATGCTGGCCATCCTCCGTCAGTGTCAGCGTGTTGGGGTTTCCTCTTTTCTCAGCTGTCACCCCAGCACTTCCCTTTGCCGCAGCTTCCCTTGCTCCCTGTCTGGCTTTCCCTCCTGCTCCTCCCCATGGGAAGTGTCCACGGGAGGCAGGGAGCCATGGGCCATAGGCTGTTGACTGGTCCCTGGGCATAACACCCTTGCAGAGGGCAGGGTCTTGGTCCCCCAGGATTGCTGCCGGTGAAGGGTGGTCTGCCAGCATGGGACACCCCACCACACCCTTCCGATTCCGTACAAGGTGTGTGCCAAAGCTAGCAACCACCAAGTGTTAGAGCCGGCTTTCCCTGGAAGGGCTGCAAGGGGCACACAAATACGCCGAGTGGCTGGGGCACTGGAGACCTCTGCGTTTATGCTGCTACTACTGTGTTTTCCCTGGTACTCTGACTGCTGGGTTCACACGTTGCCACCAAATTGTGCTCTAATATATACATATTCATTGTGGTTGTATAACTTTGTGACCGTAAGGGGAACCGCAGTCCTGTGGACCCAGTAACGCCACTGCTGCAAATGCTGCCAAAGAATCGCCCCATTCAGCTCCAGGCCAGCTCTGTGGATTCTGATTATGCAGCTGCAAAATGTGGTATTTTCTTAACATGCCACTGAATTTAGCATTTTTTTCCTGTGGAACTTTCTATTTGGCTGCAGCCAGGTGCTTGACATTTTTCTGTCAATCCTTTGGGGTGGAGGCAAGAAATCTTCCAGCAGCTGCTGCTTGGTTTAGGCCGTTCTCTGGGGAGCAGCTCATTGGATTAGAGGCCTGAAAACTGAAGAGTTGGGGTTTGGCACTGGCACGCAGGAAGGTTCTTGACAGCACTGGGGGGCACACGCTGCTGCCAAGCAGACTCTGGTAACCGGCAGAGGAAACCAGAAAGTACCGTCCTCAGCCACTGACTAGTTTCAAACCGGTGTTTGTCAGTGGTGCCTCATGGCGTGTTGGGTAAATCTGAGCTGTGAATGGAGGGCATTTGCACCAACTGATGCTCAGTCTGTGACGCCTTTAGTGAAGGTTTAACTGGTGGTGGAAAACTTCCCAGCATCAGCAGCATTTCAGGAGTGCTCCCCCACCCGGATGGGCGCAGGGCAGCCTCCTCAGGCCGCCACGTGCCTGGCGTGGCACCTCTGCAGCTGCAGCTCTGGCAGTAGGGGCACCGGGCCTGTGGGATGGGCTTGTCACTGGCGTGGGCACGATGGCCTTTTGCAGACTTCACCGCGGGACCTGCTGTAAAAATGTCGTTCAGCCTTTTCCCTAGCGCCCTGCCCTGTGACAAGGTCAAGCCCTCCGGCACCGGGTGCAGGAGGCACAGTCTCTTTACTTGCGAGGCTGCACCCACACCTGCGCGAGAGCAGGCTCTGCGTGCAGCAGCAGCAGCTCCCGGGTCGGGTGCTGTGTACGAGACAGAACAAAGCCTTTCAGCTAACCGTGCATCGCTCCTGGGGTGCCTTGCTAAGCCCCACTTAACAATTCATTTAGGGTTTTTTAGTTTTTCTTTATTGCTCTCCCACAGCACCACGGGCCATTCCCAGGAGCTTACGTCTAACTGTGCTCTTGCAGGATGCCTGCGTCTCCCAGGAATCACAAATGGGCTGGGAAACACAGCCCAGTGGGGCCAGGGCCACAGTGACAGGGTACAAGCTAGAGCAGGTGACCTCTGTTCTTGAAGCCACTGAGTACCCGTGGAGTAAAGCCCTCCGAAGGTGTCAGTCTCTCCTCCCAGCGTGTGTCTGGAGAGCTGGAGTGGCTGCTGGCTCTTTTGCGTGTTGTGCAGTGTGACTGTGTCACGGATCATACGTGGGATGAAGCTGCACACTGACTTGTGGAGGCAAAAAGCTGCATTTAATTCCCCCTGCCCTGCTGGGATGGCTGCGCGTGCTGCTGTACTCACGCTGGCCGGGGCAGCAGGACGGCTGGGAGGGTGCACAGCACCCAGCCCACGGTGCCGCCCCACGCTGGGTCCTGCCCCTCTCCCTGGAGGTCTGCAGCCCCCTGAGTGTTCTTCACCTACGCTTGGGCTGCTTTGATTTCGCAGTGACTGAAATGTCACCGCTTGGTTCAGATCACTCTCGGGCGTTTTAAGAATATGGTATTAGGAGTTATTAGGCAGAGCGATGATGTTGAGAAATGACAGTAGACTTGTTTCCAGTTTTTAATGCTTTCTTGTAAAACTGAAAATATAAAACCAGCCGAGCAAATGAAGATCTTTATATACATGAGGTCTGTGATTAAAAAAATCCTTTTAGTTAAAAAAAAGGAAAAAAAAAAAGAGAAGAATTGACCAATGAGTTAGATGAAACTGATTAAAGGGAACAACATTCTCAAATGGAAACATACTTTTCAGGAAAAAAAAAATAACCCTTCTTTACAAGTTTATTATATAACTTACATTTACACTTTACTGAGAGAACTTACAAACCAAGCTGCTTGAAATGCTCCTCATTCCCTTAAAGCATGAATTTCAAAGTGCCACAGCAAAGGAACAGGTTCCAATATTATCTTATACAGACTATTCATGTATAAAATGGTTTGGTAAATGTGAGGTGTTTATTTAAATGAGCACATATAGGGATACAGACTAAATAAAAGTACTTGAACAACACCTTGTTATTACATACACAGTTATAGGTATAATCAGGAAACCGGGTCATCCCTGCTCTTAGGTGTCTGTATAGATGGAAGGAATGTGATTCAAGCAGTGGTCAAAGGCGCCGTTCTGGAAGAATCCGTTGTCGTCAGTTCCGTTGGAGACCATGTCTTCAGATACACACTGTGCGTCGGAGATGGCATCGTAGCCTGAAAGCGTACGGACATGATTCAGTACCGCAGGACATATAAGGAAGGAAGCGCAGTTTGAGGCCTGGGACCGTGCAGCACAGCGCAGCGTTAATGAGAAGACAATAGGGTTTACCATCAAAGCCCTACCCAGGAGATACACGGACTAATCTCCATGGGCATTTGTGTCACAGCAGATGAAGCTCCCATTCATTTCTGCGGAAAGCTACCCATTTGCAAGTGAAGTGCAGGGATCAGAGCGTGACTCCCTCGGGACTTCGCAGTCATTATCTGAACAGGATGTCAAAACAATGAGTGGGCACCCATCCTAGTAAGTGTGCACTAGAACTGATGCAGGCCTCATTTGGCGTGTTTTTCCTTTTAATGGCATTTAGGAAAAATGTTCCATGTGTCTCCCAGCTGCTCCTAAGATCCAAAAGAAATCCTACGTTTACTGGATCCCTGCATACTGCAGAACTGAGGTCTGTGGCAGCATGTCTGGGTCAGGTCAGGCTCACGGGATGTGTGGAAGGAGCTGCACACCCCCTTGTCCTCAGCCCACCGAAGCTCTCCATGCTGCTGGCTCCTCTCCTGGCTGAGCTGGCCGGTGCTTGCCAGGCTACCAGAAAGCCACTGTGGTGGGGAAGGATTTCACTGTCCTTCTCCTTTTATAACACAAAACTTGCACAGCTGTTACAAGTCCCCCTGCGCTGAGCATCTCTGTGGAAAGGAACAGGTTTGCCTGCTACCAGATATTGTGGCAGCAGGAGTGCCAGGGAGTCCAAAACAAAAGGATTCTTGCCTACCCCGAAGGACATGAACGTTTCCTATTATGCCCCTCTACAACCTGCTCTTGCAGCTGGCCGGTCAAGGCCCGCGTGCACATACCCGTCTTACCGCAGTGCAGCTCTTCCCTTACTGCACCCCTGCTGTGGTCACCCCTTGCCTTGTCCTTTCTGCACGTGTCCCTGGGCCCGCACTTCTCACACCCACCAGACCCTCCTGTCTGCCCCATGGCCCTGCTGCCCGCCCGGGGCTGGGCAACCTCCCACACCCTCTCCTTCAACAGTTTCCTAACCCCCTACCCCGCTCCCCAGACCGCAGCAGGAAACACAGACACCTTATGTTCATCCTTTAACGTACGGATTCAGTTTTACCCCCTGCCGCCTGATTTGGGTTGGGTCTTTAGAAAAATCTGTGAGCTTCGGCGGGAGATTCTGACCCCTGTGCCCAGCCCACACCACTTACCACAGTTCTAACAGGCGGCAGCAGCACCGAGTCAGCTGAGGCAACGCATGGAACAAGGGTCTTGTAGCTAAGAACATGCCTGTGAACTAAGCGCCTGATGTGGAAAACAAATCCCTTACAAACACATTGGTGTGAATTCCAAGTCAAGTATGGATGGCCGATCCTCGTGCTTGACGCACTGGGAACCAGATCCATTCTCTGCTTGATGGAGGAGCTCCGTGGAGCCCTTGGGAAACGACTGTTTTTCTGTGCCTCAGTTCCCCGTCTGGCATGAGGCAGTTTCTCCTCAGCCTCTCTCTCATCTCGAGGCTGCCCCACTGCAGGCCAGCGCGTCTGGGCACGGCCGAGTCAAACACTGCACCAGGCTTCCCTGAGGCCTCCGGGCTGTGACTGACAGATCCCGCGGTCTCGTACAGCCAGGCCTGACGGCAGCAAGAGCCGTCAGCTCAGTCCTTGGAACTTAATTATAGGTATTTCACTATTAGGTATGTTTTTATTATTTGAGACCAAATTCTGTATTTATTTATATTTCTGCATTTTCCTGTGACGTATTAATTTACTGTTAGTTTACAGGTCACGTTCTGCTGCCTGCAGAACTCTGGCATGCAGTGCACGTCCCGTCTCTGGAAGATGAACTTGGCCTGTTTATCTGCCCTGTGCTGCGTCCGCCCAAGTGGAGTGGCCGTACTGCCGTAAGTTTGCGATTGTTTATGTTATGCTAATTTCTGTTTGATGAGCCTGTATACAGCGTGGATACACAACCACAGATGGACAAAACCCAAGATAAGCACGCACCCCAGAAATCATTATTAGATTCCAGAGAGAGTAAACTATCCAAAGTCCTGAACAGAAAATCAGAATTTATTGACTGTTAATGTGATTCATGGAACAGCTGTTTGCCAGTCACATTTAGCATTCCTGTGAGATGAGATCTCATTTAGTATTAATGGTGCCATAAAAGCCTGAAAAAAATTAATGCATAGCCTTGATGAATCTTGCAAACCTGAACGGTTCTATTTCACACACAGGAAGATAAGATGTATATATTTCATATATACTTATGTTTTGGCCTTTTAAGTATTTGCATGCCTCAATAGCCACTCTAAAAACAAAAATACTACACAGAAACATTTCATACTAGTTTAGTCCCAGACAGAAAAATCAACTGTTGTTGAAGTTGGTGTCTTGCCATCGCATTATTCTTTGCTCCTACAATTTCTTTCGGAAAGTTTATTTAGTCTGTTCTTTAAATATTGGAGGCTGTCAATCTAAACTTGATGTTAACATGAAAAAAACATGTTTTAGTAACATCAATCTTTTGAGTAAAACATAAGAATTCAAAGTTGAAGTTGAAACTTCATCTTAAACTTTTCCCTTGTGTTTGGCACCGGAGCATGCACTTTCTAGTACGCAGCAACAGGCGCGTGCGCGCACACTCTCTCCGAGCGGGCTCCTTTAATGCAAAACAAACAGGAAAGTCAACTCTAATTTTGCGGTCTGACTCAGGCCCCGATGCAAAAAGCATTTAAACATGTGCTTTCTGTATTGTCGAGATGCCCTCCTGAATTCCGACACGGAGAAAAACTTCTCAGAGATGTGGAAGTGAAGCCTGCAGTAAATGGCAGTGTTTCACGGCTCTGGCCACACTCACCTTTTGTTTAACTTCAGGAATTCTGTCAGTTCCTAACTGCGGTTTTAAAAGTAGGAGAAATGCTTTGTAAAAATAAATACTTAAATACTGAAGTATTATAAGTATTAACTAGCTGTAATAACTTGTTGCAAATCTTACATTATGCAAATACATAGCTAAAGAAGAAAATAAAATTGCCACAACTGTGCTGCAGCACAAACACAAAGGAACTCCCGCACAAAAAGGAACTAACTAACGCTCTCGGCTGAATTGATCACAGCAGCGCAATAGTAATGGTCAGTACTGCAAAACAAGGCCACCCTTTTGTTCTCAGATGGACAGGAAGCCCCTGCTGCTGCTGTTCCCTTCAGAACCGTGTTGGCTGTCTTCCTCACTTGGATCTGAGCGTGAAAGCCTGCCTGAGCATCCCTGACGGGAAGTGCAGCGAGCGTGAGCAGCGCCTGGCGGTCAGCTCTCCTGAAGGCGTGTGCGGCCTGCCACGACCCGCAAGACGAAGGGAGAAATAGTCCAGCGTCCGGTACAAGACTAAAGAAAACTAAATTGCTTTCCTTCTGGAATTTTTATAGATGCAAACGAATTTCAGCCGTGAGTTTTTTATGCAAACGTTTTTTGTAATAATACTGACTTTAATGCGTTCTTTTCCCCTCCCACTAAAAACAGCATACGGGTAGTTCTTCAGAGGCAGAACACTTTACCTGTAGAAGCCAAAGGCGCATTGAGTATGTGGTAGCCGTTCTGTCTCAGAGGATTAAAGCAGTGGGATTCCCCTGTTAGCACATCGCTGGTGACAGACTGGTCCATTGTTCTGTAGCAGTCTCCGTAGTGGAAACAGTTTTGTATGGAGTGAAAGCTGCCTTGGTAACCTGAAAAGAGAGATCGCACACACATTTTAACGCTGCCGCAACGGTATGCGCTCCATTCCTGTCACAGCAGTTCGTTACTGTTGTGGGGCTTTTCGTTCCTCGGTTTAACCGAAAAGCGATCATGCTGCTCGGTAAGGTGCAGTGGCATAAAAGCTGCCTCAAGCAACGATCTCGCAGCTGTGCTTCGTTTCAGTCGATAGCTGAACGGGGTCAACAGCCACTTGTGTTCAAAGGGAAGTCCTAAGTACTCCCCTGGATCTGGTCCAGGATGCTCAGCTCCTACAGGAACGTGTCTATAATGAATTACTTTTAATTGAAATACGACAATGCAATATTTGCATGAATAGCACTGCTTTGTTTTCTGTCGAGTCAAGTCTTTTCCCACCCAGTGAGCATCACGCGCTGCTGGAGACAGCGCTGTTTATTGGGGAGACCTGTAAGAGTACCTCAAGCCTCTCCTTTCTCGGACCGCTCCTTTGCAATGTCTGCAAGGAAAACGATCCAGAGGTGCAGGACTGACGCCGCACGGACGTCAGGTGAAGACTCTGAGTTCAGCCTGAGGTTCTTGCTTCTGAGAAGTGCCAAGGTCAATGCGGATGGTCTCTGGCTGCCGCGGTCTTTCTGCTTTTGGGGCACGTTTGACTTCTGTCCCCCCTGTACCCTACATGGCTTATCTCCTGCTTTTCTAAAGAGTATCGTACTACCAGCGCAGCAGCGGTTTGGTTTTTCCCAGCAGAAGTTGTGACGAGTTGTACACATCAAACGAAGATACTTAACGTAAAAGGACACATGAAGTGCTGAGGAAGGAATTTTACAGCTTACAAGTTTGTGCCAACATCCTAAAAGAAAATACCCATAGGGATGATCTCAAAGCATGCCACAGGACTTATACCAACCATGGCCTGATTTAATCCTCTTCCTTCCTCCTGCCTCAACAACCCCCTCCTGATTCGGGTGCGTTGCACACTAACTGCACATTAATACAAACTATCCCTTTTCCTACCTTTTCTTCTGAAATGCTGCTCCTTCCCTCATGTATGACTTAAGTCAACTAAGTCAGGCTTAAAGTTTAGTAGAATGTTTAGTAGGATTATCCTTTAGTTCCCAGAAAAAATATGGAGCTGTTGCCTTTCTTCCCTCAGTCTTATTCAGAGTGAAACGTTTCCTCAGGAGCTACTGCAGAAGCCCAGGTAGTTCAGTCGAGCACACACAGCCACGTCTCCGGCTGACAGGAGCCAGTGGGAGCCTGGGCTGGCTGGGCCCATCGTGCAGGTGTTCGATCTGCTGTGCAGGGTGGAATCTGTCCCTTACACATCACGCTGTCCGCACGCTTTTGCCTGTTAGGAAAGCTCTCCTGTCTCGCTCTACAGTTCCCTTTACCACCCAGGTCTGACCAGGTAGATGGTATCAGAGCTGAGGGCCTGTCTGCTCGTTCTGGTCATGTTTTCTAAGGTGGTAATAAATAAGGCTGAGCGAGGCAATTCTTGAGTGTAAACGCACCGAACTCATCAAGTGGTGAAAGATTTGCCCAGAAGTTTCACACTTTACTATGTGTCTTGGCAGCATCGGCAAGGATTAGATGATTCATTTCTTGAGAACCTATGATCTGCCACCCAAGCTGTTGCTCTCCGTGATTGGTGAAGTACTAACGGATGACTACCGTAGATAAAGACACTGTGCACACTGTACCAAAGCTGTTCATGTTTGCTGCTACGTAGAGGGCGGCCCAGAAATTTGGAAAGCTGAGTATTAAATGATGCATATCCCTCCTTGGAATAAACAGGCTGCCACCTCTATTTACTGCCTGGAGAGTCTGGCTCACAAAACCAAAGCGCTCTTATGAGAGGCAGCAAAGCCATCTTGTGATGTGGTTTTAGTACAGTGCTGTATTGATTGGCTTTTGATAATTATCCTGACTTTTCTGTTTACAAAACATGAACTCCTTGCCATACGCCTTCTAAAAATACATCCTTTTGAGATGAGAAGAAAAAAAAAAAGAGACATTTGGCTTCAGCTGAGGTATTAACGGGTTGCAGAGAGCACTTACGTGCATTGCTAGGGAGAAAACGGCATCTTTTCCAGAATGTCTGCTATACACATCACTGCTGGGGAAGGCATGACATGTATTTTCTCCGTCTCTGCCATCGCTGCCCTTTCGTCATGCTCCCAGGCTTGCCTTTGTTAAGGCAATTAAACGCCTTTACGATCTGTGGGGCTGGCACAGTGGCTCAGAAAGCCAGAGGACAGCCACGCATGACAGAACTGGAGTGAAACTAGTTGGATCCAGGATTTTCTCAAGACCTATGAGCAAAGTGTATGAAGTGTTTTAAGTTACACTGTCTAGCTGCTCAGGAAAAAATACCTGAGGCAGAGAATTGCCTCAGACTCAGAAGCCTGGACAAGAACTGCCATAAGCAACCAAATTCTCCTTTGGGTCGCAGTGCCTGTCGCGCAGCATCGCTGCGTGATAATCTGACACGGCAGCGCAAAAAGTGATACTGGAACCGTCCAAATGAAGGGATACGATGTAGGAGAGTACCAGTGTTACTGCACTGCTGTATTCTCCAGCCCCAAACTTCTGCTGAGTGTTTCCCAAAGAAAACACAGAGAAATACCATCCCTGTGCTAACGTGCCCGCAGGCAGGAGACTGAAGAAAACGATGGAGTGAGGAAGGGGAAGTTGCAGCAAGAACAGTGGTCACGTAAAACAAACCATGACACTAAAAATGGGACTTTGAACCCTCTGACCCCAGCAGTATAGTGAAAGCTCACTTCCTTCTTCCTTAGCTCACCGGAATGATGAGACAGTAGGACCCTGTAAGAAAGGGACGGCAGCTTCATGTTAGGCATTCTGTGCCTGTGGGAAGAGGCACAGGGATGGCGATGGGAGGAGTGGTGGCTGCTTCCTTGAGGATGAAAGGGGAAGGAGGAAGGCAGAGTCTCCGATAGCTTTTGCAACTGCAAGTGGTGAGAGAGGTGGAGACTCCAGAGAGCCCTTCTGCACAGACCTGAGCACCGAGGAGATGACGCAGTTAGACAGCGCCTGCTGTACCCCTTGTGCAGGGATCTTGCACCCTGGGGACCTGTCAGCGAGCACTTGCGTTTCTCTTCTGTGGTTCACCTGGCGCAGCCCCAAACTTGCCTCTCACACGAGTGCCTGGAGGCTTCCTGGGGAGTGGCCATGGCAGCAGTTCATTCGGGAGGACTCTGGCCTTCCAGCTGAGACACCCTCATCTGCAGTTCCACTGCTGGGGCGTACAGGGAGAATTTCCTGATGTTCCTGCACTTAAACTGGGCGTGAAACGCCACCTGCCTAGGAGGACACAAGCCCCGTTTGCTTGCGGGATGTGAAAACGTAGCCAGCTGAATGTCAGTCCTGGAAGGTGGAAAGGAGCCTTGGAGTGATGGAAACTGCAACCTCCAAGGGCAGCAGGGTCAGTGAGCTGCTGGGTCAGTAAGGTTTTTTCGTGACTTTTTAAATACTTTCTATACTCCCACCGACTGCTTCAGAGGCCCAGTCGCAGACCTTCTTTTGGTACCAGGTAGGCTGGCTCTTGCTGATGGCCTTCAGTAGCCCAACACGGCTCAAGAGGCCAGTCGCTCTTCCAGAGGATCTGAGCCTCATGCATCTTTCACACTATTAAAATGGGAAAATTGCTGAGCGTTCCCAACAACCAAAGTCATTAGACGAGAGATGGAAAGGCCACGTCAGTTAAAGCAACCACCAGGACTTTTGCAGGAATGGATGGCTCCTGCCGGAGAAGGTTTCATTCAGTTTACACAGCCGTGGGAAATGCAGCGTGGCTTGCAGGCAGTACAGAGCTTGACTTGCAGGTGCAATACAAGTCGGAGTTCACTGCATTTAGACACTTACAAAACGTGCAGTATGAGACAAAGGTGCTTTTGGCTCATGCCATTTAGTTGTGGCTCCTTTACCTGTTTCAAAATGGTTTACACAGAAGGTATCAGGAATTAAGATGTGATTAAAATCCCATAGTCAATGGTTCAATTAGCAACCACTTATGGTTGATTAAACTAAACATGGAGCTTTTTTTACAGGTTCTTAAAAAAGGCTCCCTTGGTGGTTAAAATATGAAGTAAGCAGGAAGGCTTGTCCGCTGCAAACATCCCTGCTCCTCCTGGGAGAGCAAAACGTAGCACCGATTTGGCAACAAGGCGTTTCACCAATATTTTTTTTTCCACATGGATTTCAGGTTTTTCTTCAGTTTTGATTTAAATATTGTTTTTCCTGAGGTTAATTTTCAAGTGAAGAATTTACTAAATGTCCTGTCAGTTTAAATGATCACTATTAAATGTTTTATGTACAGTAGATGTAGAAATATAACAGTTAATAACGGCATAAACCAAGTTCCAAACATAACATTTAGTTAAAATTTTGCTTTGAAATAATTTGTGGCAGAAAAGCTGCAGTTAGCCACTTCACACAGGGCACTGGCTGCCTCTGTTTCTCTAAGGCACAGCCTAGAAAACTTCAAGCAGCCTTAAAATGAATGATGTAATGAGCAAATAATTGGAATATGCCTATTAAATGCCATCTTGTTATGTCATGTCATTTACGTGTGTGCGCAAATAAATCTCAGCTTTTCAGATTCCATAAAGGTTCTGACAACAAATCATGTCAGGTATAACTAACTACAGGATTCCACTGCCAGCCAAATTCTTTCAGCATGTAATAATTTCCATGTGATCTTACTACAAGTAGGTTTTAACATACAAATAACATCAGCTGCTTCTTTCTTTATCAATATCTCTGCTACCGGCCCGATGAAGCTTGCCATCGTCTAAAAACTTCAGACCCACGATGTTTACACCTACAGCCCAGCTGGTTCTACAGCTGGGCCTACCTACTGTCCTTCCGTCGGCAAAAATTCAAAACTCCCCAATTACTACAGACTCCCTGAGAAAAATGTGCTAATGAACCGAGATGCAAAAAAGATGCAGAGCAAGTACAGCTAAGTACAGGTTACAGATCGATTGATTTCAAAGGCTGCTAACCAAAACTGATTTTTGAATGACCATGTCCATAATGAATTTACAATAATACTTCAGCATTTGGCCAAAGTGGAAAATTATTGCTATTTCAAAACCACACGACATAACACTTAGAAAGCAACAATTCATTCAAAAGGAAATGTGGTTTTCTTAAGGAATAAAGTCAATTTATTTAAGTGGTTCAAAACTTGTTCTGTCTATGCATTTGTTTCTGCCATAGTAATGAGCTGCTAAACTTTCCTCTTGTGGTTTGTAGTCATTTAGCTCATTATGGTAACATAATCGTATATCATTACAGGCTATCATAAATCTGCCACTTTGCCCTTACAGAGTTAATCTTTTTAAATTGAATAATCTGTTGAGCATCAGGTTGAGTTAGTTTTTCCTTCAACACAAATCATTTAATATCACACGCCTTAGCTTTTCAGGCTGAGTCAGTCCAACCAAAGAGCAAAAACACCCCTCGGAGAGGAACTGTTGGGATGGGGAGCCCCACGACAGCCGTGCCCTGCTCTGGGTTGGTGTTCGGCCCCTGTGCTTCAGATCTAGCCTTAGCTGATACTGGGAGAAAGCACCCCTCTGTTCTGGACCCTGGTCAGCTATCACATGGGATACTTGGCCGGCCAAAAATGACCTTACACAGGGGACAGTACAGCTGTGAAACGAGTTTCAGAAAGCTGGTCATCTGCCTGTATAAACTTAAACGCTTGGTTGTGCTTGCAACCAGACAGATGTCCTGCACACGTCTTTCCTGTGAATCTTTACCACAGCAGCAGCATCCCATCTGGATTACAGAACACGTTTCTCAGATACGCAAGCTCCTCTTAATGGAAGAGTCTGTGATAATAACTCGTGCTAATTCATACCTCAAAAATTGCGGAAACATTAATTAGTTCCCACGGCGGAACTCTGGAGTAGGTAAATAAGCACTCGATTAAAAAGGCTGGGTAATTGAGAACAACAAATATTTTAAATTAAGCAGTGGGACAGCTGCGTAGCTGCTCCCGTTCCTGTCCTCTGTAGACATAGAGTGGCCCTGCAAACTGTTACGTAAAATCACACAGACACTAAACTCCCAAATGGCAATCACTGCCTGAGCTCAGGTCTGGTCATCACTGTTGGTGGACTGAGCAGGACACTGCCAGGGTGTGCTTCAGCCCCCGTGTTCTGGGACTAGATGACTCTTGCTCTGCAAGGTCGCTCTCTCCAAGCTGACGGAAGGCCGGATGACCAGTCAGATGAGGAGCAGGGCTAGTAGCGATCTACCGCACGGCGAGAGCAAGCCCGTACGGACAGCCAGGGTGTGAGTTCGGGCTAAGTATTTCACTTCATCTTTGAACGAAGAAGTTATTTGAAGTTATCTGGGGGCATAATTCATTCTTCTAAGGCCATTTTTGAAAACTTGTCCTAAAAGCCCTGACTAAATGCAGTAAATCTGCTGTCGTGACAGTTTTCCCCATCGATAACGTATCACGGCATGAACTGGTCTGGCGATGTTGCTCTGTATGTACATCAAGCCACTTTAAACCAAGAGTTCCCACTGAAATGCTCTCAGTCCCTTAACAGACAGCAGGGACAAGAGATGCAAAAATGGAAATAAACCCTTCTCCCCAGCCAGGAATTAGGGAATTTAAAAAAACCCGAAGGAAAAGCAGAGGGAAGGGTTACCTTGAGATCCCTGCGGTGCAGGCTGGTTTTGGAAGGGAGCGTATGGTTTATTTGGTATTCCAGAAAACTGCTGCCCATTTGGTGACTGGCTGTGGGATGATGGAGAGCCGTGTTTCTGCAGCAGGGAAGGTGGAACTAATGCTTTCAGGGGGCTGACAAGCGGAGAGATTACGTTGGGAGCGAGCCTAGAAAAAGAAAATACAGAAAAACTTGACATACCACACCACAACATGGGAAAATGAGCTTCCTGAAAGGCCCTACTCCCATGCTGGCCAACCCAGAGGAACCGTCACGCGGCAGGTACAAAACGTACTGGAAAGGTAACAGTGCAGTCCTGCTTTTGGGTGTTCACTGGGAGGGAAGGGAGTTGGGAAACGTTTCTGTTCCTCTACCCTGACGTCTGCAGTGACAGAAACAAAACGACACCGCTGCTCAGCAAGCAACTCAGACACAGCTCAGTCTTAATTTAAAATTTCGTGAGCCGAGAAACATGTCCAGAAAACAGAATTGGAGAATGTAGTTAGAGTGAGTAAATGCCAGTGAATTGTTTAAGTGCCTTCACAGCTGTAACAGGGTTAAAGCTTTACACCCAATTTCAGCCAAGACAAAGAAAAGCACTAGTTTCAGTTATTGCAGGATTTTTGAGACTTAGAAATACAGCTTTAACTGCAACAGATGGTCCTGTCAAAGAAAAAGCCCGAGTAAGTGTTTGCTGGTGGCAGCACTGTCGGCAGAAGGGTGAGAAACGGCTGTACGCAAGAGGTGGACGATTCCCCCGATGCCTGGGACTCGGGGCAGCACCATGCCGGGGCAGGTCTGCGGCACCGACCCCAACACTCCCACGAGGAGCTGGAGCCTCACGAACCCACCTCCACGTCCCCAGGCACCCAGAGGAGGTTCAGTGCCTCCTCCCTGTCAACGCAACCATCCCACCCAGGGGGGTACAGCAATTGGCCCAGAGGGCACCAACCCTTTGGAGAGAACTGTCTTTGGACACTCAGAGCCAGAAGAAGACAGGGTGCAGGAGATGGGACCAAAATCCTGGCCGTTCAGGTACCAGCCTCTTCCAAAGCTCATTACACCAACCCTGCGAATGAGCCAACGGGCAGCAGCCGGATCTCTTACCCTCCCGCGGCAGCTGTGACAACGGCCTTTTGCTCCACGTGTTACACTGCAAACGCCCGGGCTGCGTGGGGTGCTGCCTGCTGCCCCTGCAGCTCTTGGAACACCAGAAGCGGCTCTTGGAGCGGCACTCGGACCTTCAGACCCCCCCCGTGGGTGGCGGCCGCCCGGCCGCCCTGCCGAACCGGCACGGCTACACGTCCCGAGGCACAGGAGTAAACACGCGCCGGCAGGTTGTACTACGCGTCACCCAGCTGGAGACGAATACTGAGCAAACCCCACGGCGGGCGTGCAGAGAACCAACTAAAACCAGGTTAGATCGCTCGTTGGTGTCTTCCTCCACCACTGCGCCCGCCGTTCAAACGCCATCAACTCTGATTGGCAGCAGCAGTCCCTCCACAGTTCACACGGCGGCTTCTTGGAGCGGTTTGGATTAAACCTGGGGAACGAGGCTATCCTTGACCTGGGCTAAGCACTATGGGCAGGCGCTCAGGAGGTAAATATAGATGAACTGTGAATTAATGGTGGCAACAGCATAATCAAATTTAACATGAGAGGCAGAGGAACACGGCCAAAAGCTGTCACACTGACACTCTGTTAAAGGGGGCTTAGAACCAGTCAAAACCCATCCTACCCTGAAATAATTCCATCTCCCAAAGCGGGACAATAAGGCATATAATACCAACCACAGAGGCTCTGAATAGCCCCGAACTAACCCGAAGAAATAAGCCATTATTATTAACGGGTGAAGGCAAGGATAACTTCAACCCAAATGTGGAAGAACTGGAAAATACATTTTTCATGAGGAAGGTAACACACCGCGAACCCACTTTTTTATGCAAAATAAGGAGGACTAAAGTGGTATTTTAAGAGCCAAATGCAAACAAAAGAAATCTTACCCCTCTGTTTAAAAATGCATGTTAAGAGGAGCTCAGCAGGAGAACTGGGACAGCCCCTGCCCAAGGGCTGCCGAGGTGCTGAGCAGGGGCCGGGGGCTGCGTGGGTGCGGGGACACCCTCTGCTCTTCAGGCCAGAGACAGACACGCTCTGCGGAAGAGCAGCTGGATGCCAGGAGGAAAACCCCGAGTTTATGTGCTGAGCAGCAGCTAAATGCTACGGGCAGCTCCTGGTGCCTGCGGTTCTCCTCAGAGGGCTCCACGGAGGGGCAGTTTAGCCAAAATGAGCTGTGGTGCAGCCCTGCTATGAGTCCTACCTCCCACGAGTGCTCTCGCGTGCGCGTCTGCGGTCAGCTGCGGCTGAGGATGGGGCTGACGTTGTCTGCTGGGCCCTGCCTCGGCCACCGTCTGCAGGGGGGGCCGGCCACGCACAGCCACCCGGCACAGGATGGTCACCAGCCCCTCCAAACAGCACACGTGGGACACTGTCCTCCATGTGCCAGGGATGCTATCAGAAGCCTGGAAACACTTCCATCTAAAGGCAATGAAGACGACTGCAGTGTTGCCACTGGAAGGATAATCGCCAGAAGAGATCAGGATAGTGACAGTTAATGGCTAATGACCACACACACGTTCAAGAGAAACAAAGGATGTACTGGCTGGATGAGCCAGAGACCCCACTGAGTGAGGCTGGGATATAGTTCTGGGAGCCAGTGCGCTGCAACGGCCTGAAAGACTTCCTTACGCTTCCTCTGCCTTCTCCTGAAAGGCCCTGTGCTGGCTACTGCTGGGAAATGCTGCTCCACCGAGGCCTGCCGGGCTGCTCTCCGCAAGGGCGGGTGAGTAATCCCGCCTGGAACTCCTGTGCAAACACGCTGCGTGGCAAACAAAAATGGTACATTTAGGGTGCCCAGCTGTGGGAGTACTGAAAACCCCAGCCTCCCTGCCCAGTCTAACTGCTCCCAGAGGCTAATTAAGTCTTAACCATGTGAGAAGAATTTAACAGTTTTTATTGTTATTTGTAAAGCTGTGCTTCTCCCATCCACGCTCTCTGGCGTTCCCGTTTTCCCTTGGGACAGCCTTTGTGCCCCACGCCTTTGAAATGAGTGGTGAGGAGGTGAGCTCCCAGGCGGGTGCGGAGGTGTGCAGGGCCCTGCTCCAGGGCTGCCAGCTCGCTGCTCCCACTCCACTGCTGCCACGGGACCGGAGCTCGGCAAACATAGCTGTCTCCCGGCAGCCAGTATCCTAGGAACTTGCTGCAGCGCAGGAACCGGAGCTGAATCCCTGACCGCTTCGCCCAACACTTGCCCGTCGCTGCCCCCTCGGCATGGAGTTTCATACCGGTGGGACGGTCACTGTAAAATCTACTGCCTTACGCCCAGTCTCTCCCAAACCGGGAATTTAACACGTTACCACTGAGTTAAGGCTCAGTTTTTAGCGAGGAAAGAGCTTTGCTCAGCAGAAAAATCTGGCTATACAGCACTAGGGCTAACGTGGGGATCTGTCTCCTTAAAATCTTCACCACAGCGCCTACAGCTCGAGCTGGTCCGTGGAAGGCTTTGTGCCTGTGTATGCATGTGTGATGTGCCCTGGCACGCTCCAGGAGCGCTTTTTCATCAGCTAACTGCCCAGTTCCCAGTGCCGTGTTTTTAATTCTCTCCCGAATATTTGCCTACTAATTAGGTTGCTGTGATACTCAGGTCATTAAAAGAGAGGAGGAATCACTGCTGATACAAATTAAATAGATGATGCATTATCAACGGAAAAGAGCTTAGAAGGAGATGCCTTCTGTGTGGAAGCAGAAACACACCAGGAACTCAGCTGGATACATTAAAAATTCCCAGGCAGTAGCTCAGGCATATGTTTCAATAACTAATAGCCTGGACATTTCCTGTTAATACTGTACTACAACCACAGTTTGCTTTGGTTTGGATATTAATAATAAATATATACCATATATTTTACTTCAATTGTAACTTGTATAATTCAGTGCATTTGCAGGTCCTTTTGGGGCCTTTTAATATATAGCTATGCCCATATACAGCCATATAAAGAGATATATAAATAAATACTCCTACACACATTAAAAAAAAGAAAACCTTATCCTTCCTTAATTCATTCAATTTGAGGGCTCCTGTGTATACAGAATATTTCTGTTCAGGAGCATAAATCTGCTTGTGGCAAAGCTAAGAAGAATCAACAGTTCTTACAGATCACTATAATACACGGATTGCTGTAATCTACCCTGACTTACAAGGACGCTCGATGGTAAAACACGTAGTAACTCAAACAACAAATCAACCTGCTGCAAGGCTTTTACACCTCTGTTACCAGAAACCGTGTGTCCCTGACGCGAAGCGTAGCCTGTTTAACCATGCCCTTTCCTTACTCCCAGCTGCTGTCTGCTACAGGCACTAACCAAGTTCCCAGCCAGCCCTCTCCGAATCCAGATCTCCAGTTGCCAACTGACAAAACTGCTAGTGCTAAGTCCCTGGCTGTATGCAATGCACGACGCGAGCAGGAAAGCTTTTCCACCTGAAGATCCACCCAGGTGACTTCAGACGTCACAGCAGCGGGTGCCTCTCAATCCCCTCGTACAGAGAGGCAGGCACCCCAGAGTCTGTTCCCTGCATGTGCTGACTGGCCTTGAGCTGACACTGCCTTTGGGGCAGAGCAGCGCTGCAGGAATAACGTGCAACCTTCTTGTGCAACGACAGTAATGGAAAGGGAACGACACCGTCGGATGCCGGAAGAGTCTACGTATCAATGGCCATATATGACACAGTGGTTAAGCCAGGGGAGCTGTATTCAGTTTTGAGGCATCAAGTCGTCGTGGGAGTTAAAACCAGCTGGTGATATACTGGAATATTAAGACAGGGTTTTCTTTCAAAGTAAAATGGCCCGAACTAGAAGCCAATGCAGAAGAGCATTTCAAGTGCAGTTTTTCAGCCTGCAAGGGTGCAGGGGGGAGCCAGCCTCCTCTCCAGCCCGTCCGAGGGATGGGAGCAACAGGGCATGCCCTGCAGAGAGAAGCAGGTCAGCTTAAAACAAAAGGGACATTTTGCTCACACAGCATGCCCTGGCCTGTGGCATTCACAACCACGGGAGTCACAGAATCAAACAGAATACCTCGTTCTTTAAAAAGGGACTGAATAATTTAGTGGCCA